CGAAATCAGCTACTTCTCTAAAGACACGCAAAATCGACTGACAAGTCATAAATTATTTTGAAATTAGGGGATCTGGAGAATTTGAGAGTAATGTAATTGATTGATCAATACAGAGGGCATGTATTGAAATGAATGCTGCTGAGCAACTGATCGACTAATTCTCTAAACATAACCAAAACTGACCGACAACCAATATACTTTGAAAAACCAGAAAAATTGGGTAGTCTGATGGTGTGGAGAAGCCATCATGTTAATGGGCAAAATTAGAAGACCGATGTTTGAAAATGGTAATCTTCATACTGCTGCCCTAATGAATGCATTGATCGAAGGAGATACAGTGCATTGAAGCGAGCGCTGCCGAGCAACTGAGATACTTCCAGGAAATCAACTATTTCCCTCAAGAAAAGCAAAATCGCCCAACAAAATACATATTTATCTCAATCTAGAGGCTATGTGAGGAATCAAATGGTTTGAAAAAATCGCTATGTTACTGTGCAAACTTGAGACTACCGTTAGCTTGAATATGGAAAGCCTTATAGTGCTACAGCAAGGTATAGATCGATCTTCAGTGATACAACGATATGTAAACAAGCACCACTGCACTGGTTGAGAATCTGAGGAATCTAATGATGTGAAAAAAGTGACATGTNAGTGCTACAGCAAGGTATAGATCGATCTTCAGTGATACAACGATATGTAAACAAGCACCACTGCACTGGTTGAGAATCTGAGGAATCTAATGATGTGAAGAAAGTGACATGTTACTGGGCAAACCTGAGGACACGGTTAGTTTGAAGATAGTTCTCTAATGCCTCTATAGCAGTGTACGCATTGATCAATTGTGATACATTGTAATGAAGCGAGCGACGCCGAGCTACATGAGATATGTTCAGAGAATCGGCTGTATCTCCTCAACTAAGCAGAATCGCTCGACAACATTGATGCATTTCTGAATGTAGAGAATCTGGGGAATCTGATGGTGTGAAGAAAGTGACATGTTACTGGTCAAACTTGAGGACACGGTTAGTTTGAAGATGGTGACCTAATGCTACTATGGTATGATACCTTTAAGTAGTTAGGTATATTTCCTTATGTAATGAAAACCGCTCGACAGTATATACATTTTTCTGAATGCCGAGGTTCTGTGAAATCGAACGACTGGGCAAACACGAGAGTACCGTTAGCTTGAAGATGGTAACCTTTACGGTGCTAGAGGAAGATACCTGCAGAAAATCAGCTATTTCCCGCAAGCTAAGCAAATTCGCTGGAGAAAATGTATACTTTCCTGAAGCTAGAGAATAGAGAAACTGGGGAGTGTGACTGTGTGGAGATACCACCATGTTAGGGAGTAAACCTGAGAAGACCCATTGTTTGAAGATGATAACCGTCATGCTGCCGCGCTGATGAATGTGTTGATCAATAGAGATACAGTGTATNGCTACTATGGTATGATACCTTTAAGTAGTTAGGTATATCTCCTGAAATAGTGAAATACCTTTAGAATATCAGATATTTTTCTGAATGTAAGCAAAATCGCACGTCAGCATACATGCTATTCTAAAGGTATGGAATCTGGTGTGAAGTAATGGCAATGTTTCTGGGCAAACCTGACGGCAACTTCAAATTGAAATGTGTGCCACTGATGGCTCTAACGAAATAATGTGAAATTTCGAGTTTTAAGGTGAACAAAATGACATTCAGTGGTCAATATATCTTCTCTATAAATTTCTGCGATTAGTGCCATTTGCATTCAATTCGAGGAACAATGAACCATGACTGCTTCGTCAATCTGAATTTTCATGTCGATTCTACTCTCGCATTCGAGTTGTTTGTTTTATCGAGCGAGAGATTTTACTGTGAACTTTAGTTTACCAATATCTGTATAAATTTTGTTCAAAATCGCCGACTTATTACTTTTTAAACATGCTAAAATATGTTCACTATGACTGTTGTCTTCTTTGCACAAGTGTATAATATTACAGGAGAGCTGTGTGGAGAATGAAATCTTTTTTCATGGAATAAGGCTATTTTCTTTCGGAAACTCTTTCTTCAGAATGCATTCCCCGTTGTACATGGCAAGTGAACATATTATGTTTAATTCACCTTATTCCAAGAAACACCATCACAATATGAAATCAATCACAGAATCCAATCAGTCTATTAGCAACGAGCTAATGAAGATGTAATGAAAACAATTACAAAGTAACACCAATAACATATATGTATAATATCATTATAATACGTTCATCCATCACCATTTATTGCATACAAAGTCGTGAATAATGACAGATAATGCAAAGAGGAGTTAATGTGATTTACAAAACAATAAACTAGAAATCATCACATACCAACGCCATAAAACTCACTGGCCCCAGAAAAATCAACCAGAGCAATCTTTTATACTGAACGTTCTCAATCAGAACAAATTATGACTTTAATTCGATGAGTTCGCCATCATCTTTCGACGTCTGCATATCATCCTCCTTTGATGATTGAAGTTCGATTGCTGCGGATCCCAGCAGGAAAACCTTCAGCTCTTTCAATCGTTCATTTAGCTTTGCCTTGACGTCCATATCTGATTTGTTTTTCATCGACGAAATGACCAATTTCTGCATCGTTCGAAGCAGCTCATTATGTTCTGCACCCAAATCGGCTACTTTTTCAACCTGAAACTATCATATAACAACATTTATCGAGCGTTTAACACCAACGACGCATTGCATGAACAAGTGAATGCTCATTCAAATCAAGTTCATGTTACAATGCAATCGCCATGAGTTGATCAAGATAAGGCATTATCTTCATTCAATGCACGTGAATTCAATCAATTATGATTACGGGCTGTGCGTTATCAATAATGCAATCGAACCTTATCAATAAGATGCGAAACAAATTTTCCGGAGGCA